AGTCAGACTCAAATCCCTGCATACAATTTTTTTCCAACATTCCACTGGTTTGTAATGAACAGAAGAGCAATGCAACCCAGTTCATACTTTTGAAAACTTGAGTGTCCCAACAGCCAAAACTTATAACTTGTTATTATTACCTGTGTTTTCCCGAAAATAAGACCCTGTCTTATATTTTTTTGCCACCAAAAAAAGGCACCAGGTCTTATTTTCGTGGGATGTCATCTACTGACTAACCTCACTTGTGCACTTTGCTCCTGGCCTCCTTTTCGCTTTCAGAGGCCTTCAGGAATTTCTTCTGCGTCAGGCAAGGCTTTCCCGAAGGTCTCTGTTATCAGCTACAGAGGCCTTCAGGCCTTGCCAGCCTTGCCAGTTGCAGAAGAAATGGGCCGGCAAAGCAGGTGTCGGGGTGTGTGGGGCCTGGCTGTAACTGTCCAAAGGTAGGTAGCTCCACTCCCCTATCCCCACCCTAGCTTAATTTTTACCCGTGCACTCTGGAGTGGGTGGGATCTTAATTAGGGCTTATTTTATGGGTAGGGCTTATATTGGGCGCACATGTAAAAATCAAGCTAGGGTAGGTCGTATTTACTTTCAGGGTAAGTTGTATTTTTGGGAAAACAGTATTTGCTAGAGTGGCATTCTGTTTTTAAAGATAGTGGCTATATTTAGCAGCATTGATTAGATTTCCATACCTAATAGTTTATTTCCCCACTTGGAACTAGTTTGGTTTCCCCCTGGGATGTGATTCTCTTTAAGAAATACTTATCCTTTATTTTCCCACTTCCCTCAAGAGGCAAGAATGTGTGTTTGGAATAAATGCTATTTTTAGGTATGATGTTTGGAGATAGGTACAGGTCTCTACTTCACCATGTAGATAAATTATAACTCTTTATCAGCTTTGTGCTGATTTCTTTTAATTGCAGATAGTGTTCCCCTTTTACTATTAAATTCATTCTTTGCTTCTGGGAATGTTTAATGGAATAGAATGTTTAATAGAATGCAAATGTTAAGTTTTGTTTACTGTCGGAGCTATTTTTAATGCATACAGTACATAAAGCTGCTTAGTATCATAAGAAACAATCTATGAGCATGGTAGTCACTATAAATTATGGATAAACAGAGAAACAGAAAATAACCACAGTGAAGGTTACAAATGTGCGCTCGATAATATGATATTCATTAGCACAATTTTGTTTGCTTCAGTACACTCATATCCCTGAGTCTACTTTGGTGTAGATTTAGAGATTATACATGGAAATAGCAGGCAAGGGGAATCTGAAGGCATGAAACAATGTCTGTTTGCATGTCATGGACCTGTCTGGTCCAAGCTTAATACTAAATGTATGCTGTAGTAAGCATAATTAAGAATAATGTCCGACCTAAATTGGAGTATATTAGGACTACAATCCTAAAAACTATTGACAAGTGAAAACTTTTTGTTTTCTGCAAAAATTAAACAAAGACTCTAAATTGTTCCAGATATAGTTCTGTTGAATTGAATTTATTTCATATAATAATAATCTAAATTATCCTTTCTGATAGTGGAGCTCAACTAAAGCTTGTCTTTAGATAATTGTAATTAAAAGTATTCCGTTAATCAACTGTTGACATTTGAATGTGAAATCTGTTTTCCTACCGTGCAACCTGGAAATGTAAAAATATGATGCAGTTTTGATGTTTTATATCTTTTCTTAATAAAGCAAATACACACACAAACTCTTTCTCTTACATGTTGCTGATTTCAGCATTCTATAGAAAAATCTGGGATGTGAGAACATGGTTTTGAATTGGTTTCAGAGCCTGATGTGCTCTGTTCCTGGTATCCACTATTTTCTGTTCAGGGATAACAGGAAGAAGTGTGTGACCACAGATATCTAATCTTCTGGCAAAGGATGGAATATGTAAGTGCAAACTTCCTGTTTCTAGCAAAATTCTAGTATACTGGATTTCCCCCCCCCCTCATCTCTTTAAATATTTAGCCTTTTGATTTATGTGACTCAAATCTCACAATATTAGTTAATGATTATGGATAAAATTTAAAAAAACAATTAAAATGAATAAAACAAAATCTAATAAAACATAAATTCTAAACTGGATTCTTGTGAATTTTAGAAATATAAGGTAGTACAATTTTTAAAACAATGAGAAATTAAGTTGCTGTAATCTGACAGTAGAGAATGAATTTTCTTCATTCTAATTTTCTAATTTTCTTCTTGTCTTGGAAAATTAATTAATAGAATTGTAGAATACATAAAGACATAGAAAATAAAATGTAAAAGGAAATGATCTATGGTTTCCATAGGGCCTATCCTACATGAATTTAGCTAGTCTTCGTATTGGAGTTAATATATTTCCCTTCTCATTTAGTTCTTGGGAACACATTAAAATGCATCATTGCCATAACTCTTCTATATTTCAGTATTTTTATTTGGTCTAACAGTCTAGCTGTGCTGAAACTGATAGACCTGGCCACCTAAGTAAATCCCTTTTGGCGGATAAGACTGTACATCTTGCCCATTTATATTTAGAATTTTCTTAGCAAAGGTCTGAAATAATTCTTAATAGAAATAGGAGGCTTTGGATTTAGAGCTAAGTGTTCACAATTCTTGATTACTTGCACAGTTACAAATTGATTTGAACGTTTCCACATAGTTTGTATCAAATAAATAGTTATTCTTGTTGCCCTTTTATTTCATTTGAGCTTGATAAATTCGAACTCATTTGGCACCATGAGATTATCTGATTGCTGTATTTATCTGAGAAATAATAGCGTATTTCCTCAATATAACATTAAAATAACAGAGATGTCTTGGATTTACAGAGAATATGATAATATAATATTGTGGGCATTTCTCCACCACCACCCCCAGCCCCCATCACACTGTTTTGGGTATGTGGGTATCTTTTAATTTGAGAATCCTTTTCCTTTGGAATAAATATAGTAATATACAGTGAATGTGGAAGTACCAAGGGATAAATCGCTATGATTTTGTCTAGGCTTGAACATTTGAAATGGCTGCACATTCTGAACTATTGGATTACAAATTGTTATCTCTTCAGTTCCAGCTAGCAAAAACAAACTAGACTCAATGGCTTGTTGCACTGATGATGGACTGTGTTAGGTTTGTTGTCTGGGCTTCATTTTGGCTTTACCCTCATAGCATAGAAAGCAGATTCAATCAGGATGAAGCAGACTGGGATCTGCCTCATTTTTTTCTCTAGAAACTTAGAGATTCTTGATAGGAACTGAATGTGAGATAATCACCCAACAGGATCTAGGAACTGATACTTCAGAACAACTGGCCCAGGCAGACGAATTTAGTATCTGGAATTAAGGTTCCAGAAGAAGCCATTTATACTATGATCTGAACTTCCTATTTCAGCAAGTTGATCTCAGGGGAAGGGAATCTTTTACAACCTTTGAACCTTAGAGCTCTTCTCAAGATAAAACATTTAGAGCAGGGGTGTCCAACCTTAGCAACTTTAAGACTTGTGGACTTCAACTCCCAGAATTCCTCAGCCAGCAAAGCTGGCTGAGGAATTCTGGGAGTTGAAGTCCACAAATCTTAAAGTTGCCAGGTTGGACACCCCTGATTTAGAGTATCAGTCTTCCTCCTGTATGTAAACAAAAATAACCATCAGAAACAACAATTTGTTCTTCTGGCAACTCTGATCACTGTTTATTCTTAGAAGACAGGTCTTTCAGTCAAATTTATATTTAAAACCCTCCTTCCTGGAAATAAATGGAATATTTCTGGGATAGCAGCATCTCTTTTCTGTATCAACCAGTATAGCTTAAAATCATAGTATTGTTGTCACTCAGACTTCTAATACTAAATCATTTATGCTATAAGCCTGTGCCATTGAAATATATACGATGCTAGACATTGTATTACAAACTACTCTGTATTAATTATATAATTCATAGTATAATGTATATTTGCATTGCCTAAACTATTTGAGGTATTAAATGAAAAGAATGTTTTGAGAATTTTTAAGTAGCACTTTCACTCACATAAGAGCCACTGAGGTATCATGGTTAAAGTATTGAACTAGTAGCAAGGAGTCTTGGTTCTCGCTTAGGCTCAGAAGCCAGCTGGGTGATTTTGGTCCTCTCAGCCCTATACTGAAAATAGCTATCAAGCAATGCACACTGGATCAGCATGATAGATAACACTCCATAATCTTCAGTGAAGCAGAATTGATTTTACTGGATTGATTCAAGCAGATTATATATACATTGACAGAATTGCTTTTCAGTGTCTTCTGGAAGGCCAATCTCACCTCAGGGACTAAACTCAGGCCAATGGCATCTGTAGCATGTCTCTCATGCAGATGATGGGATGGCTAGATGCAACTGGGAAGAGGCTGTCCTTCAAATAATCTTTTCATTATCTTTAAATATAACCAGTCTTATTAGTTCCTTGAGTCTCATTGGAAAATGGTAATTCTTGGCATTTCATTTTTAACCAGTGTCTGTGTTTATGATCTCTCCCAAAGTGAATGTAGCCCTTAATTTTTCTAATCTAATAGAATTTATGCTTTACTCTCTGGTTATAATCAACTTTTAATCATTGAAATTATTTTTCAGTGAATTGTTTATTTCTTGTGGAATGAGTACTATAGCATTTCATTTTGAAACTATTATAATAGTAGTGTTAACAGCTTGAAACTGGTATCTTACAAATATATTAGAAAGGAAAGAGGTAGACTGAAAAACTACTTCTAGAAAAAAACTCAATAAAGCATTATAAAAAAAGAAAAACTGGCTTTACCAAGTAAACAATTGAAAGATAAGAGCTTTGAAACATGAGCTTTCTGTAGTCTTTACTCTTAGTTTATATAGTCTCTCAATTTCCAGTTGAGAGGGTGAAGCTAGTTTAACTATAAATAAAGCCTCATTCTTTAGTTTACTTTCTTACATACTTTTAAATGCTACTTCTTTTAAAGAAATATTCTGTTGTCAAGAAAGTTAATGTAGACCATTTCTTCTTCCTCAGATGCAATTGATGGCGTGACGAATGGCGATATCTACCAGGTAAGTGAAATTCTACTGAACTCTTGACAATGAGTTTTGTCTCCTTTTCCGGCATTTCAATATTAAACCCACATAATGCTGGAGTTGTCAACTGATTTCTAAAATTTAAAAGATTGGCTAGTGAGTATTTTTAGAAAAACAGAAGATATTCTCTCAATTTTCTTTCATCTGCATCTCAGCAACTCACTCCCTGTTTGCTTTGAATCTTGGCATAGGTACAAGAGAAGTTATGTGAATGTAAAAATTCCTAAAAGCTTCCATTACTGTTTCCCTGGGATGCAAGGAATTATGCTAGGACTATGCTAAGGGGGGAAGGGGACAGATTAGGGTGGGGAAATGTTAAAAACCTGACAAGTCACATTGATATCTTTTTATTATTTGTCAGTTTGTAAATATGCACACATTCTGTATTGTGTATTCTGCACCAGCAAGAGCTTCTTGTGTATTTATGAACTTACCTTTCTTTTTGGGCTCTTCAGTATGTTTGTCTCAGAACTGATCATACATTAGTAAGCTGGCTTCACAGTATTCTACCAGAAAAGCTGTGTGCATCTAATACTTTGCTGAGCATGCAAATGTAGCTGAAGGTTTTTTTAATTAATCACAAACACAATCTGCATTAGAAAATAAGCTATTATATCAGCTATTTATTTTTTCTGTTATTGTTAGCATTCAAGAATTGTTGTTTTCACAAGTCCGAATGTTGTAAAACTGGTTCGCTGTAATGTTTGTAGGAAGGATAAATATTGGTCTTGGTGGAAACATCAGAAGCATTTCTGTGATTTTAAATGAAATTGGAACCAATCAAAATTGTGCAGTTAAAGTATAATATAAAAAGGTAATATATATATTAAAAGTACAAATAATTGTGATAGTATTAAACACTAATAAAGTGCCTGTCATATGGCAAATGTGATTAGAAAACAGATCTGTATACATGTAGTCCTTGATTTACAACCATTCATTTAGCAACTGTTCAAAGTTACATGGGACTGAAAAAAAGTGACAATGACCATATCAGCCCCATGATCATGATTTGAGCGGTTGGCAACCAGCTCACATTTATTATGTTTGCAATATAGCGCAATCACAGGATTGCCATTTGCAATCCTCCCATCTGGCTTCTATTGAGCAAAATCAATAAGAAAACTGGCAGAAAAGTACACAAGTCATATAGTCACATCATGTCCTACTTAACAACTGCACCCCTTAACAATGAATTTTCTGGTCCCTATATTGTTAAGTAAGTTGAAGACTACCTGTAATTGAAAGAACCCTATGGTACGTACATACATATGGTGGTACGTACAGGTAGTCCCTGAGTTACAGCAGTTCACTTAGCAACTGTTAGAAGTTGTGACATAACTCCCCATCCCCAAGTACTTACGACATTGTCTCCAGAAGGGTATGAATGTTACAACACCACAGCAGTCGTTCATCCTTACGAACAACTACAGAGGCACTGCAGCATTTATCCTGCCTGTTCCCTCCCCTCATACTGCCACATCGGGTCTCCGCAGGCAGGCCCGTAGAGACTCACTTACCTTTCGAAGCTCTAGCAAGCTGTCTCATCTCCAGCCTTTCTGTTTCTTTGCCTGCTCAAACACTTTTCACCTGGAGACTGGAAGCTTCTGGGGGGCCATTATACCGCGTGACTTCAGGCATCCACCTGCTTTTGCAGAGAATGGGTGCCTAAAGCCAGGCACCCAGAAGCTTCCAGTCTCCAGGGGGAAAGCGTTTGCATGCCAATGGGAGGTTTGAAGCAACACGATTTCACTGGCCTGTCGCCATGTGAATACTTTTCTTTAGCAAAATACTATTATTAGTGTTGCCCTTTTTCTATTTTTCCTAGCAAAAGATGAGGTTTTCTTTCTTTTTCATAATTTAAGCAGGCTTTTTTAAAAAAAGCAGGGTACTTTTTAAAAAAGGGCTGAAACCCAGAAACCCTGCTCTGATCTCCCATTTAATGCTTCATTTGCCACGGAGGTTATATATTACCAAATCTTTCCAAATAACTTGTCCTTGTTGATCCATTTGCCTCTTCTTACATTTTCCTAAGAAAGCTAACCATGCCTTAGAACTTCATTTTTATTCAATTATAAAAATAGCTGCCTCTTTGTCTGGATCAGGAGAGCAACGGACCTACAGACTGCTACGCTGCTATTTCTCAAGCTGATCGTCTGCAGACAGAACCAGAGAGCATTCGCAAATGGAGAGAAGAACAGCGAGAGCGTCTAGAAGAGCTAGGTAAGAATCTAATTTTCAGCATCACATAACTGTTAATGGGAACTTTATTTTCATCTAAGTAAGGGTTGTTGGAGCGGCAATATTGTCAGTTGTCCTTGTATTGCAAACCATAGGCAAGGCATGCTTCATTTGCCATGTCCCTTGAATGCATGTTGACTCCATTTTGACTATGTCTTCCTGTATTAGGTACAGAGAACAGTATTGTTCAGGCCCAGAAGATAGGGCAGATCTGTTGTTAAAGCACAGAAAATATAATCATTCTTGCCAAATAATCTCAAATTCTAGAAATAATTTATTTGTGTGGTTTTTCCCCCCAACATGTTTTTTTTGCTGATTAGTTTGCACAGCATTTATTATCTTATTTAATTTTTGAAAGAACTAGTCATTAATAGTTCAAAAATAGAACCAAATTTGTTTTAAAAAGTCTTAGGAAACTGGCATATGTGACCAACTATTTCATTGTTCTTGTAGATTTTCTTCAGGTTAAACTTCGTTGATGTGGTAGATCTACTTTCATTTTTTGCTATATTTCAGAAAAAAAATAATATATTCATACTGCTAATTAATCTTGAAATTGATTCCAGCCTTTGTGCTTAACTGCCTATCTTCCACTGATTTTTATCCCCTAAAAACTGATTTTTATCTCCACAGTTTTAGTCGGTAATAGTTCAGAACCTTACCTTTATTTAATCCCAAAGGCTGGATATTTATGTATAAACCACATGTCTTTGTCTATTTTTTTTTAAAGATGCAAACTCTCGAAAGCAAGAAGCAGAATGGAAGGAAAAAGCAATAAAGGAATTGGAGGAGTGGTATGCAAGACAAGATGAGCAGCTACAGAAAACAAAAGCAAATAACAGGTAAATGATACAGTTAAAAATTGGTTACTAGATTTTGGCATCACTTTTTTATTATTATTTTTTGCTGATATGATAGTGGCTCTATGCTAATTATAACTGGCAAACAATAGCCTCAGAAATTTTTAGGAATCCATTACTCTTAGGATAACAATTTTCTCATTCCCAATTCCCCCCCCCCCTTTTTTGTATAGATGGAGTTATATGTAAAATAAGAATTACCATGACTTTGCTAGTACCATTGAACAACTGTTTTCAGTAATAGAGACAATCTCAACTCTTTCCCAAAGACTAAATGACTGTATGTGTGATTGTGTATATTATAGATGTATAATCTGTGCATGAGAGAGAGAAAGAGACTGTTACAGTTATATAATATGTGTGTGTTTGTGTGTATGTATATATACAGACATAACCTGATCAGGTCTCCTCTTGCAGTAGTCTGGTATAAAAACTGAACAAGTTAGGATTTTTCATTGCAATCAATATTTGATATTTCTAAATGAAGCAGTTGAAATATGTTGCTGTATTTTGACAGTTTGCTTTACAGCCAATTCAATAAATAGGGTTGTTTTTCTTTAGCAGTAACTGTTTTTTTCAGTCAGGAAATCACAGTTCCTTCTTAGCTTTTTTCTACCATAGTTTCTGAACCTTGTGATTAAAAATGAATTGCAGAGATGACACATGGAATGTCGTCTTTACTATATAGCCACTTGCTGGTTCAAAGGTTTAGAAATGCTCGCTCTGTAGAGCAGATTTCCCCTTTCTTAGCATAAACCAAAGCACTTTTTAAAAAAGCTTTTCCAAGTTAAGTTGCCTTTGTTAGCTGTTGTTTATAACCTAGTTTACCAAGATATCCCCTAGTTTGAAATGTTATTATGCAAAACAATGCCTGAAGACCTACAGTGGATGTTTGATTGTCTGCAAGGGACTAACTTATTTTAATTGAGCTAAGTTGTTTCTTATCTGTTGTTTTATTTCTTAACACATATTTCTTAAATGTTTTTTTCCTTCACTTACAATTTCCAAACATTTCTAGGGTCATTAATCTGCATGTTACTCACTTGAAATTTAATTCTACTTTGCTATGTTTCCTTTTGCTTATTCTTTTCTCTTTGTCTTCTGTCTGCTTGCCTCTTCTGTGGACTACTTGCCATCTAGGGTGGCAGATGAAGCTTTCTACAAACAACCCTTCGCTGACGTGATCGGTTATGTGTATGTTGCCTAACTACTGGTTATATTCTGATCCATCTGTTTTACTTAACATTTTTAATCTCTTGAGAGTTATTATGACCAAAGTACCTTGGAGAGACATACTGTGTTATAGAGCAAAATAGGAAGAAGATATCTGACTTTTGGGGGGAGGGCAGGAATGGACAATTTCTGATATTACACATAGTTAAAATAAACAACAATAATAGTATCCAAGGAATGTCAATTGACTTCTGGACACATAATCACTGAATAGTTTAGGTGCTTTTAATCAAAGAATGGTGGAAATTTCAAATAAAATTGTAAGGAAGAACAATTTTCCGATGTTAAGGGAAGAGATTGCATGGTTTTGTTGTCTCTTCTTGTTGGGTTTTGGATATAGTATTAAAAGTGTTATTACTATGTAGCAAATGCTGGAGACTTCAGGTAACTCAGGGTTTGGTTTGAGTTACATAGTAGAGAGTATGCCTGGAATAATGAATTGTGAAAATATTAAAATTAATAGATAATGCTGGAATTGTTGAAATAATAGCAGTTGAATAGTAAATTGACCTTTTTCAAATCAGTGTTTGTTGGTTTCATTAATTTTGTAATAAGCAAACCTGTCTTAAATTTCATTCTATAGAAAATTAAACTGCTTAGCATGCAGTTTTGTTGAATTTTGTTGAACTAAATATAGGTGATATTTAGTAACTGAAAACACTCAGTTTTCTCAAAGCTGAGTACTTTTCTCCTGTACTGTTTACATATTTGACCGTGATGTTTCCCAAGCATATAAAATAATAAAAGCTGCTTAAGCAGCTCCTTTGTAGCTATACTAATTTTAAAACTATTGCAGTGGTTAACAAGAAATGGAAACAAACAGGGAAAAAAAGGTTAGGTAGTTTGTACAATATAAAATGGGAGGATTCATTCAGTCATAAAATATTGCTACAGGATTTAGTTCTAATAATTGTAGGTAAAATTTAGCTATACCACTTTCCTAGGTAAAACAACTCTTCTTTCAGAATAAGTGGGATAACTTTTTCTGTTTTTCTATTCATATTCCAGTTCTATACTCTGAAAAGTTTAAATAAAAAGGTGCTTCTTATCTAGTTCTGGATGTTTATAATTCAGAATCAAATGCCTTCTTTCCTCAATGCACATGCTGAAATTGTGATACTTATGTTCGCTGGTGCTAGTCCAGATGGACAAAACGGAATACTATAATAGATGTTTTGATAGAATAATTGTCCTTCTTCCTGCTTAAAAACCCAATAATGGCAAGTTCAGGAGGTGGGGAAGTCGCTGTTCCTCGTCTATACACAGTAAGTTTGTAGTTGAATGGAGTATGCCAGGAATTGAGGAAAAAGTAACAGTGATCAAATTGCTTTGGAGCTGGGGCCCTGTGTTCCTCACCATGATTTATATTTCCTTAATTAATTGCCTAGAATGTTTTCAGATTCGTTGTGTAATCCGGAAGAGTTGCATAGCAGTCCTTGAAAAGGCCGATGGGTATTTCATGCCTGTTTCTGTTCTGATTTAAGCACTGAAACTTTCCCCAGCGCATTAGAAGTTTGGCAGATGACTTAGGAAACCCCTTGATTTGTGAAATGCTGAACTTACAGGTGGTGTCTGCCTTTGATTTTTCCAGTTGAAGTTCAGGCAGAAAGGCTGTTTCCTGTAACTGGTTGGGGATGAGAGAAGAATGCCTATAGCACAGTTGCCGTAAAAGAAATTTTGGAGGCACCTGTTCCTGAACGTTGATAGTGCTGCAAAGTGCATGTCTGGCCGGCTTTACTTGCCATCTGCATTATGCTCATTTTCATTTTTCTATATCTGACTTAAACTCTCGTTTTTGTTTCTCTTCACCTTTAAAGCACAAACATAAACCATCCTTGCTACAGCCTAGAACAGTTAAGTAAACTCTTCACTGCCCCTTAAGTGTCTTGTCCCATGAAATAGCAGTGTTGTAGTGACCCTTGTCATCAGTGGTGTTTGTAAAATACAACCATACTTGTGATCAGTGCTGAACTTCATAAGTTCATATCATTGCTTCCCCCTCCCCTCAATACTCTGTGGGAGTAGTTTTCTTCCTTTCCCCTTCCCCGTAAGTAGGTCTGCTTTATTGCATTTGCTTATGTTCAGAGCTCACAGTCTGCTTCGATTAGTTCCAGAAAATAATTTTCCTATTTGTGAGCAAGATAGCAGAATGCTAGTATTGAAGGGACAATACTTGTGGTGATGTCATTTAAGCACAAAACGTGCACGAGTGCAGATGAAACAAAGAAGCAGATTTCTCCTTGGCCTTTTCCCTTCAGTCTTCCTTGCTCCAGTCTTTAGGTCCGTAGCATTTTCAAGCATGAGGCTATAACATCTTTTCTTTCATGCTAATTTCTGCTCTCTCCACAGCATTGAAAATAGCATTCCAGTTTCATGTTATAGTTTGTAAAAATTGAAAGTAACTGTTAAGAAGGCATCTGAACACCAATCTTAGCATACCATGCCAACCTAATTACTTCTACTGGTGTCCATAGGATCATTGGCGATGGTCTTATATAGAATCAGATGATGATCCTTCAACTTAATGTCATCAGATCTGACTCCTAATAGCTCTCGGAGGTTTCAGATTGGACTTTTTTTTTTTTTTTTGGCCCTATATGGAAATGCTCGGGATTGCACCTGGAACCGTCTGCATGGATTACACATGCTCTGCTGTTGTATTGTGGATCTTCTAATTTATATTGTATGCAAAACTCAGTGTGAGGGTAATGAGATTGTGTACTGATTGTCAAATTTGCACATTGCACAGACTCAGGTTTTGCATCAGTACAGTTGATTCTCGATAAACCCACTCTCCTCAGCTCGGTACACTAAATAAGGTTGAGATTACCCTTCTCTTGTTAAACCAAGCACACATATACTCCGATATTTGACTTAGCACCTCTCTGTTCAACTGGATCTTGATTATTGCCCTCTCCACAATTTGAAGGTCTAAAAAGAGATGATTGGAAATTTTACCCTACTTTGGATGGTGGTGATGATGATTTTACACACAATTAGGAAGCAACTCATGGGAAAACGGGTGGGAGACCTATTTCATTGAAATGAAACATGGTGTTACATTATTTCTAGGGCAGCTGAAGAAGTCTTTGTGAATGATGTTGAAGACTCATCTCCTGGCACCGAGTGGGAACGTGTGGCTCGGCTCTGTGACTTTAACCCCAAGTCGAGCAAGCAGGCAAAAGATGTGTCCCGCATGCGGTCAGTGCTGATTTCGCTCAAGCAGGCCCCGCTGGTTCGCTGAAAGGGAAAGCACACCCTACACTACAAATGCAATATCTAACTTTACTCAGAGAAGCTGTGTTTGCAGTGATTGGATTAATTATGTTTAAATGTTTTTTGTTGTTTGTTTTTGGACCAAACCTCACAATGTATTTAGAGTTTGATCATTGTTCTGTGATTGCATGTTTCTCCTCTGTGTCCTCCTGGTGTCCAAACTGGGCGAAAACTTCCAAAATTGTAGTCTCTATGCTCCTCTTATGCATTGAGATTTGACTTTCAAATGTACCAATATTAAAGTTCTGTTTAAATTGCACTGTTGTGTGGGAATATTAAAAAGCCGAAGAAACTTTGCTCATTTAGAAGGATTCTGTTGTGCTAGCTACAAATAGTTGGGAATATAATGGCTGCAATTTTTATTTTCAAAAACAGATGCATTCAAAATTACTGTTTTCTTTTCCCAGTTATCCCTTGACATTACCTTGCACATTTTCAAACCCAGAATATTTAACTATTTATTCGCAAAATTTAAATGGCCACCTATTTCATGCACCATTCATTCATCAAATTTATATAGCTGCCCATGTCACAAAAAAAAAAACAAAAAAAAAAAAAACAATTCTGGGCAGCATATAATAAAACAATGACACCTAAAAAACTATTATTTTAAAATTTTAAAAATTACGAAGACTACCAGATGTCAACCACCATGGAGCCATATATGCATATTTGTCACATTTTACCCAAAACACATAGGAAAAGTATCCTTTTCCTATACTAAAGGAAGCACTATTTTTTTGTTGTTGCTTTATTTTGGCCAAGCAGTTAACGTCATTCACAAAAGATGTAAACTGCTATGTCATAGCTAGAGCTTATTAATAACCTTGCTTTTCAGATTCCTTGAAGATCAACTGAGCCATTTCCAGCTAAATAAACTTTGTAAAATTAATCTTGATCTAAAATTCTATCAGGTGTCTTCTAATTTTGGCTTTAATTTCAGGAATTTTATAGTAGTGGGCTATGATAAAATAATGCAGATGTGATGTTTCTCAAACTAATAGCTGGATAAATAAATAAGATAATGGAAATTTGATACATATTTTTTATTTTTATTTGAATCTTTGATATTTAGCTTGAAGTCACTTAGATCTATCAACATTTAGACAAAGAACAATGTACAGAACTAATCACTGTCTTAAAAAAAGGCAACAGAGAAAACCATATTTTTCATACCAACAAGAAATAGAAAAGTGCTCAATTTCAACATTTGATTTAATTTTTATACATGTAACATAGGCAGGTGTAAATTCCTTTCTCAATTAAAAAAGTGATGCAGGAGCGATGCTGAGCTAAATAACAAATATTAAGATCAATATTCAATTAAAGACAGTTTTGCTTTTAAATAATGCTCTTGGCACACTAGAACATTTTATTTTTCACTGGTGCTTATCAAATTGTGATATACAGTTGAGCCAACATTTTTTTTCTAATTTAATAAAGCAGGCAAACAGCCTGTTAAAAATTCAGTACTAACATGAATGAAAACATTACTAATCACATAAAATGAATGCTACTTAACCACATAAATAAACACATCTGCACCATAATTTAGAGATGCAGCAATGCCCTTTGTCAGTGATAAAATTTATCTCTGCTAGATTAGCAATTAAAGATATGGTATCTTTCAGACGAGGCTAGTATGCTGGAGCATTCTGGGAATTAGACAATACAGGATGTTATCTTGGGATGGGTGCTTTAGGAATTTATGTCTTCCCAAAGATGATTGGCAGATCATTGCTCAGAGATCAGCCGCAATAAAAAAAAATTGCAAGTCTCACCAGAGGTAAACTGAAGCCACAGCAGCCCACCTGCACTATATCATTTAATGCTAAACTTGGATGTTCCCTTCATGGTTTAGAAGCCAAGTGAACACAGCACCACATTTCTTTTCCATTCCATCTAACACCAAGCTATTTTATAATCAAAAAGCCACCCCAAAAATGACAGCTTCACTATTTTGGGATAATTTGTTAGTATGCACAAAAATAAAGAACTTGTCTTCTCCAAAAGCACTGAATATTTAAGGAAGTTGAACATTATTTGGAGAAGAAACTGTCTCGATGAAACTCAACAGTTTACTAAGCGGATTAGGCTTCCAAGGAGGCATGGAAAGTCAAATCTGTTCCTATAAATGCCTTCTTCTGCATCCCTTGCCTAAATATCACAAATCTTGATCTAACTGCACATGCAACTTATTCGGGTAAGAAACTGGCATATTCTCCAGAACGGTTTTGACAGGATCCATGCATGGGAAGTACTCAGTTCCATTTGGCTCCAGACCGAATAGAAAAATTGAAGACACACCCCCTCCAGGGCACCGTCTCCAGTTCTATTCAGTCTTGGCGAAGACAGATGTGCTTAATCTTGCTCCTCTGTATTTTATTGATAGAGGGGTGTTTGTAGTATTTTTCTTATTTAAATTTGTTATTTTGGACTAACCACACAACAGTCCTTACGGGACTAATTGCACCATAGCCTTTTTCAATAGCCTGGGTGATTACCGTGATCATAAGCCTCTCTTTTTTGTCAGCCTTTGCAAATGAATATCTGGAATAGGGATTGGGGAGCGTCAGAGAGGCTTCGTTTCGCCGGCTGGGCAGCCTGCCCATATGAGGGAGCGCTAGACAGCCGAGCGCAAAAGGCACCTTTATTTGATTTTAATGCGGAATGGCTGGTTTCGTGCCAAACAGCGGGTGAAGAGACCGCTCTAAAGATCGATATCAGAGGGCCCCCGGAACGAAAGCCTGTAAGACAGCGTGCCCATATAAGGGAGCGCAGTCTAAGTAGAGCTCTTGTGCCTGCAACAACGAGGTTCCAGCAACGGAACTGTCTGAGCAAAGCTGTTGGGTCTGCTGCTACGAGGTTCCAGCAACAGTAAAATTAACATGGCGGCGGTTAATTTTGGCGGGAGCGCCATTTTGTAGAGGCGTCCATTTTCTGCCTAGTTACAAGTGCATTACAACCCGAACTTTACTCAATCTGATTATAGAGGCGTTTTTTTACTTGTCTTCAGTCCTCAGGGGCAAAGCCTCAAAAAAAAGAAAAATTTCTTTTTGTCTCCCTAAACCATTTATTATTAACTTATTAATAGTGACTTTTTAAAAGATTACTACAGACTAATTAATTGTACTTTTACCTTTATTTAATATAGTCACAGTACTAGTACAGGCATTTACAGACGTTATGAAGGAATCTTCCAACGCACTCTATCCACAGCAGATCGCTCCCACCCAGCAGAAAGATAGGGGTAAAAGAATCTGTAAGACCAAAGGATCAGCACAGGAGGCAGCTGACAAACTCAGAGCCAGGGCCAGAGCTAGCAGAAAAACTAAAGCTGATGAGCTGGCTGAGCGTAGACTACACAATGCGTTGGTAAAGCAAGTAGAAAAAAAATTCAAAAGAACAAGTGAACAAGTTAAGTCCTCCCAAAGGGGATCACACAAATCAGCCAATGTTTTTCCAAGTGGGATCAGACATGGGAACTTCGGCCCAAGCAGTTACAAACATGCAGGATTCTGAAGTGCCAGGGTGTTCTTACTGGAATAATCCTGTATCTATGGCTCATTCGTTGCCTAAACCTGTGCAAACGCAACACGCTGAACCAGGAGGACAATTAATGCCACTGGTGGTTCAGGAGTGGTTTACCCAAATGATCGGTCAGGAAATGATGGGGGAATTTCAGATGAACTATCCTATACAGGCAGAGTCAAGAGTAGGCCCCTCTCACCGTAGAAAACACTCCCACCCCCCCTGGACATACTAGAACATGTTCTCCTGCTACATCAGAAGATGAACACTCCGATTATTCAGGTAGGATTGAGGTCGATGAACCAGTGCTAGCGTTAGCTTCTTCAACTACTCTCAACGATTATGATGTCCTGAAAGGAGAAGACAAAAAAGCTGATTCAATGTGATGAAAGACACACCAGGCAGCTGCGTGGGCGGTCAAGACCGCCACAGCGGCATCAGTTTTTACTAGGGCCGCTGTGATACAGCTAAGACAAACGCAGCAGCAGGCACCAACAGACAATATAAGAGCCCATTTAGATTTCAACAAAATCATAGCTGCATCAGAATATACGGCAGACGCAACTTTAAACTCTGTCAAATTTGCTTCTCAGGCCATGTCTTCGGCAGTTGCCGCACGCAGGTCACTCTGGCTCAGATATTGGCAGGCTGATGCCAAGAAGAAATGGAAGCTGGCATCCGCACCATAGGAAAGCTATTTGGGGCATCCCTAGATACCGTTCTCATCGAATCACGGGATAAATGTAAGATAGTGCCATCAGTCTTAAAGAAAACAGACAACAAATTCTCACCCTATTACACACGATCTTTTTGTGCCCCTTTCTACAGATCGACCTGTCAAAGAGATCAACCAAACTTTGGCCAGAGACAACAATTTCAACAAGCTCAAGGCAACAACTACAAGGCAAGAGCTCAACCACAGACCAAGCAGTCATTCCGTGGTTCATCAAACAGACCGTTTCGAAAATACAAATAGCAGCTTGGATGTTCCTGTTGGTGGCAGATTGCAAGGTTTTGCAGACCAATGGGAGAAAACGACTTTCAGGGTGCAGATGTGATTTGAACAAACCTTAAATGTTAGCAATCTGTTCCAGTCTGAAAGCTGTAGGTGATGTAGGAATGGGATTTTCCAGTCATTCATTTTTCTTCAGATCATTATTGTTTTTATCCCCTTGCCTAACTGAACAAAACTGGCAACAAAAATACAACCTTGTGTTTTCTAATTTCACTCAGAAAAACTGAGATTTAGCACTCCTAAGAGAATTACCGAAAGCTTAAGTTGTGTGTTTTGCAAAATGTTCCTTTGAACTCCGAAGCTTTCTTCAAAGTAGCAGTTGTTTCAGGATGAAAATGGACCCTCTTCATTTAAATTTAACCCACTGCTACATTATTTATATTAATTGCTCAATTCTCTCGGTAGGCTTGCATTGCCCGGAACTCACTCCCATAGTTTAATGTAGCCAAGGTCTGGAAAATTCCCTTGTTTTATAATTCCAGGAAAATAATGGAAATGAAAAGTTTACTGAAAGTTTACTCAATGCTCAGAAGATTGATTGGCTTGGAGCAAATTTTAACAATATAAAATACCCTGCATAATAATTTTCAAAATAGGATATATAGGGAAAGGTAAATATTCCTTTGGACTAGAAGAACATGTATGGCATTTGTTGAGGTAATTCCCCATTAGGAGAATGAGCGCATACAGGGAGACGTATTGAGATAAGTGTTGAATAATACACACACAGCACACAGATACACTGTACAGTAAATGTAGGTTTTTACTTCCAGAAAGTTTAAGCAAAGTTCAAAATAGGAAGTCCAAAGTCATTCACAGGTAAATCAGTTTTCAATCCAGTGATAATCCAATAACAAAATCCAGTGTGAAAAACAGTTCAGTATCAGACTTACATCAAATCCATGAATATCAGTCAATTAGAAAAAATGGAGGAATGGCAATACTCTCCAACAGAAGGAAACAGAGAGACTCACTGAGACACACTCTCTTCTGAGACTAAGACTAAGACTAAGACTAAACAACCCAGGTTTCTGGCTCCATCTTATGGCCGTTTGAGAAACCACACCCAATTACACTTTTAGGATTCTCTCTTTTTTTAAAAAAACAAACTATTGATTATAAAACTAAAATATCAAACAAACACATACACAACACACAGAAGAAGAAAAAGGAAAATGATTAAAAACTAACAATTCTACTATCGACAGTCTATGGTTCCTTGTTTGTTATCAATATTGGTGATATATTTACAAATACATCTTATTGCAAATATATAATTACTACCTCTTTTACATTTTACGTTGTTTACTAATATATTTTCTATTTTTGTTCTATCCAGTCATACCAGCATTCCCAGGTTCTATATTATGATGTTTCTTTTTCCTTAAGTGCTAAGGTTAACTTATCCATCTCTGCACAGGCTGTTATTTTCTGAATAACAATTTCCTCTGTTGGAATATCTGCTTGTTTCCAACACTGTGCAAAGGTTATTCTGGCTGCAGTAAGAATATGCAGTATTATATATTTGACATTTTTAGGAATTTGTCTATTAAATATCCCCAATAGGAAGAATTCTGGTTTTAATTCAATTTGCTCCGCCGTTATTTCCTCTAACCATTTTTTTATTCTATGCCAGTATCTTTGGGCTTCAGTGCAGGACCGCCACATATGAAAGAATGTTCCCTGTTTCTTTTTACCTTTCCAACAATTCGGATTCATGTTAGGAGACATTTTCGCTATTCTCGAGGGCGAGAGATGCCATCTATAAAACATTTTATAAGCATTTTCTTTATATGCTGCTGATTTTGTAATTGTATTATTCCTTGTCCAAACCTTTTCCCATTCTAATAATGTAATGCTACATCCTATGTTTCTGCTCCAAGCTATCATGTTGCCTTTGACTACTTCCTCTTCTAATTCCATCTCTAGTAAGTAATTATAAAATTTAGTTATATTTTTTTATCTCTTAAAGAGACAGTATTAAAATGTCTATTCTGGTTTATATATTGTCCAACCCAAATAGCTGTTAGGTGACTTATATTCCTAACAGCATTTGACCTATTAGAGCC